ACCACCGCCCGACCGAGGGTCAGAGTTTCCCCTGGAGAAACACAATGGGCAATGAGAGCTGCGACGATGCCTTCAAGAAGGGAACGAGTTTCGCCGCCGCCGGTCCATCCGGTGATAGGACAAGCTTTCACCTTGGCCAACACTCACCGCCATCGAACGCCACACCCTGGCCACCAGCCGCCCAGACGGCCATGGCAGCCGGGCAGCACCTAGCATGGGCTCTGCCCATGAGCACCGGCCTACCACCACCAGGGCCGCCGCCCCGGCATCTAAAACCAAGACGCCACCTCACCCGAGACCCGCCGCTACACCAACCAAAGAGACGAGTGGAAAGGCTCGGCCTTTCGCACCCCTGGGCGCCCCCCAACGCCGAGACCCAATAGGCCGGCCAACACTGGCCACCATCGCCCTGTCCTGCAGCACCGGGCACGAGACAAGCTCGATCCTGCCGCCGGGCACGAGACGAGCTCGGTCCTGCTTCCGGGCGCGAGATGAGCTCGGGTCGTGGCACCAGGCGCGAGACGTGCGATGGACTACAGCTGGGATCCGGCCAGCCCTTCGAGGCAAGTAGAGCCCGAACGACGAGGACATGAAACAAGGTCGAAACAGCCCGACCGCAGACGAGCCGACGCCGAAGAAGCCGGCCGCTGCCGCGGGCAAAGCTGTCGGCCACCATGTAGCCACCGCGCCACCGGAAGGCCACCACCCAAACCTCCCCGTGCCACCACCCATGGCCAGAGCACCAGTCACGCCCGGCCATTGCCCCAACCCGTGCCGCCTGCCGGAAAAGTCGCGTCAAATTCGGACGGCACGGCCCAACCTCCACCATCTCCAGCACATCACCGACCCCGACCGAGAGGAAAGGGAGGGGTCCACCAGAACCGCCCGCTGCGGCCCGTGACCAAATCCGATCCACCACTGCCACCACAGGCACGCAGCCGCCGCGCCGCCGCGCCGCCGCCGTCGTCCATCACGCCACCACTTGCACGTCGCTGCTGAGAGCCACCGCCGCTGCACCGCTGGGCCCTGCGCACGCCCGGCGCCGCCACCAGAGCAGGCCGCCCCGCACCGGTCACACCCGAGCGGTGGAGAGAGAGCGGCCCCGTCGCCAGCCACCGCGAGGGGCTTTTGCCCCAACGGCTGCGACCGGCGGCGAGGGCGGGGGAGGGTGGGGAGGAGGAGGGGAGGGGGGAGCCGTGCCGCCGCCCTAGTCGCCCGCGGAGGGGACGACGCAGGGGATAGGAGGAGAGGAGGGTTTTGTTTTTGCGAGGAGAAAGCCACAATGGGTCTTTTCTGCCATTACTGCACGTGCTAAACCAAAGAAATGTTAAGAGGAACAAGCCACTCCTAATAAGATTGCATTGTGATTGTATTCAATGTCAAGTTATTCATGTTTCTAACATACATGTATGTTTACTAATCGTGTTTTGCAGCAAAAACTTGCATGTTCTATGGTGCCAGAGCAATTACAGAATCGGGGTAGTGATGGCATGCAAATTTTCATCTCTGACATGATTGACATGGAAACCGCGTACTCCAGTCGCGAGAAGATGAATATCTTGTCGTCGTGGTTGGAAGGACATTCCTAACAACTACTAGTACGACGAAGGTGAAGAGTTCATTGTCGTGCTCCACCTAGGACATGAAAGGCCGGTCCTCTTCATGTGTACCATCTACGACTGGAAGGCTAACGACGAGTAGGCTTGGATCTTAATCAGTACAATGTGTCAAGAACTTCCTTTTGATTTGTAGTACAATTACTCCTCGGCCGTGTTGCTCATCGTACTAAGTACTTTGCTTTCGAAACGATGTTTTGGAGTTGTTGTTAAGAACTTTATTAAGTAACGGGTATTATCAGTTGAAGTCGATGTTTGCAAATACTTCTTTTTATTCAAGTACATGCTAAACTTCATTATTTGTATCCTTATTTGATGTCGTTGAACCAATTAGTAACCATATGCCGCCAGAGCAAAATTGTGTACATAACTGTACTGTCTATTAGTAGTGTTCAGAGATGTAGGATGCACGTTACTAGTATGTAACATATTTGCGGCGTTCAACGTGAAACGCTGCTGAATAGCCCGTACTAGCTGCGGTCCCAGGACACATTGCTGATGGTGCACATATTAGCACCATTTGAATCGAACACTACAAGTAATGTGTTATCAGTCGTGTCGTACTAGCAGCGCCCCACCCAGACGCTGCTAGTGAGCACATCGGAATGCCGCTAAGGAGGAGGTCCTGTACTAGTGATCAAAACATTGAACAAATTATAGTTTTATTATTGGGCCTAGCCCATTTAATTTTTACCATAATTCCTAGGAAAATCTCATAGGTCCATATGGCCATTCACGCATGACAAGTGAGGTAAGGAAGTTTAGTCTTAACTCCATTAGGAAAATTTCGCATATATTCTACACATAGTAGAAAAGGTCTCCATGATAATTTCATGAACACAAGTGATCTTCACCATTCCATTTTGTTTTCATACTTGTTAGATTCGTGAAAACGAGTAAATCAATGATCTTCACAATTTTTGTGGTCCTTGGACTCTATTTATTTTGATTTATTGATGAAAGTCTTCTTTTTTGTCAAAAAAGAATTCATGCATCACTATTTATTTTCTACTCCCTTCGTTTCTAAATATTTGTCTTTCTAGAAATTTCTACAAGTGACTACATGCAGAGCCAAATGATTGAATCTACACTCTAAAATATGTCTATATACATCCGTACGTGGTAATTCATTTGAAATCTGTAAAAAGATAAATATTTAGGAACAGAGGGAGTAATAGAGTAGAATATAGTGAGCGTGATAAAAAAGTTTCTCTGCAAAGGTACAAACATTATTTTCCGTTTATTGATAAGAGAAACTGTGTGCTGATAAGAAAACCAACAAGCTTACAAAAATATAACATTACACCACAAATAGATAACACACTTCTTCCTTATTGCTGCAACATAGAAACATGGAAGACATACAAGGTGTGACACAACACCTAGGGATGTACTAGGTTGAGATGGGTGAACGTACGTAAACCCCGAGCGCCTCCACGTACTTACCAGCGCACGCGAAGAAACCCACGATGTTATTATTGGCCTGCACTGGAACACTGAAAGGAGTGCTCTGTGTTTTTCCGAAGGGACCGTACGGGCGTAGGTTTGTGGTAATGGTGAGGGATGCTATAGCATTATATTCGACATTGTCTTCTGCAAAGACACCAACTGTCCCAGAAACTTCCGTAACGATCTCTGAAGGGGCAAGCTCTATCTGCATGCAAGAAAAGAGATCACCAAGTTAATAGAATTGCATGTAGGAATTACATTACGGGTGCTCATATATGAAAAGATGTCATTTAAACGGATGAACCTACCGTGTCCTTGTTATCCCCACGTGGGCCACCCCACGGGCCAACGTTATATGGTTCACCAGCTTTGTCAATAAAGGAAAATGCAAGTGAATCAATGACAATGCCATGGCGGATGGTGATGCGCTCTAGCGCTGCGGTGTCGAGGGGATGTCGAGTAACTCCCCACTTATTTTACCCCAAGGGCCGATCTTGGTGACGGCGCTCCCGTCACCTAGAGAAAGCTGGTCGGACTCGGGTGTCAGTAAAACCAAGCTAGAGAATTGGACAGACTAGAGTAGCTAGGTAGGCGCAGACAAGGAACACACCAGAGGTCTTAAGAAGGAGAGACACATAGCACGAACATGAAGCTCCATCCTGGCGTTTCTCTCAGATTGATGGGTCTTGTTGAAGGCGATGACACCCTGTGCATATGCAAACTCTCCAGTCCCACCAACGATTGCCCATTCACCATTGTGGGCAGTGCCTTGAAAGTCCCCCATTACCTTGAAACTGGAACCTGTAAACCTATTCCAAGTATATAGACATAGTTGACACAATTTCAAGGCAAAGTATTTCCTTTACGGTGTTTGAATTGCATAAACCGTACAATGGCTCCAGTACAAACATTAATATGGTAAAATTCCAAAGAGAGATAGTTAAGCTAGACAAAAACAATAATTAACCTCTGATCGACGAAGACCATGTTGAAGCAAATGAACCAGCACTCTTTGGCCATGCTAGCCCCGAGGTGCAAACCTTGAGCATGCGCGACAAGGTTTGCATTCTGGCCAGGACCATCGTACACGGCCCAGTCATTAGCAGCGAGGATTCCGAAACACTTGGGGCGCTTTGACTCAACTATGACTGCCTGGTTAGCATCTGGGGTTTTCTGGACATTCTGGTAGGCGTACAAGTGGAGAAGAAGCTCCTTGTGCTGGATCATCTCATGGCAAGCTGGAGCGGATTGGAAGTAGGAAGGGTTTGGTCTCTTGGCAGCAGGAGTGGTGGTGGTGGTCTCCAAGGTGAAAGACTGAGGTGACATGGTGGCTTATTAGCTAGGATTGTGTAGTAGTTGTAACTTGGTACCATGGATGGATGAGAAAGAGGCTATTTATAGATGTTCAACAGAATTGGTTGATACGTGCCTCTCAAAATTAATCACCGACTAAGTATTCACATGGCTTTCCTTGTGCACTCATGAATCACGCTCGTACATTTCTAGTACTTCCTCTGTTTCATATTAGTTTTCGCTTACATCCATTTAAGCGAAAACTAATATGAAACGAGGGAGTGGTACATTATGATTGGCAATGACGCTGGTGCACGTACATTACTCTACAGTGTTGATGACATCATCGGGCATGACATCACTGAGTGGTCGATGCATGCATTTATATGCACTACGAGAGCTTCAATCGTTAATCAATGTGCAACGGTGTGAACAACATAGACGAGATAAAGCTCAGATCTGATTGCTGATCGAGCAACTAATAATTAAGTGCATAAATATCACCCACCCACCTCCGCATCAAAGATCATAACCAATACTCGTCGACCTTCGAGGTTCCTTTGATTCAACGGAATTCCATAGGTTTTTCTTTTTGAGTATTTGGATTGCTAAGAACTTTGATCTTCTATTTAGAGGATGGAAATCATTGGGATTTATTTTCATACGATTAGTTTGTACTTCATTTTGAAGGAAAAAATTCATCCAGTCAAAGATTTTAGTAGAATTCTCTTGTTTTCATGTGCTATCAAGCACTCTTCCATCTAAATTTCTGTAATTTTTTTTACAAAATTCAAGAGGACATGACACTCCAATCATGTGAATCAAAGAAACCATAAAATTGTTTAGTAAAATCACATGGATATCTCTGAATGCAGACCATCTAATTAAGATGCCACCCACCCACCTCAAACTGTCCCTGATAGGTGTTCAATGGGCTGGGGCCGGATGACTGAAAAACATAAATGAGCCACTGCATCCCTACCCATACTTGAAGGTACAAAATGGCACCACCAATTAAGTGTCATCAATTTTTGTTACTACCCTAATCGTTCTCCAGCATTCCTTGGTGATATTTTTAACTTTGCAAATCCATGGTAGAATCAATAGCTTAATTTAGCTGTCTGGTTTTAAGAGTGGTATATTATTTTCAGGTGTATAGACTAACACTCTAAGGGCTAGAGCACCGAGTTTGGACACAGCCAATGAGAATAACATACGGAGTGACTTGAAAGTTTCATTGTTCACGTTCTTGCAATTGTTCATCATTTGTTAATTTTGGAACCAAATAAGTTGGCTATCACATACACACTTATGTTTACATTGGTGGCCATGAAAAAATGGTGAGCCAAGGGGCAGCTGACGGCCAACAGTGGCATCTTGAGAGACCAGCGAACCTCCTTCCATATGTGAGGTGAGGGTACCCCGTCGCGTACCCCATCACGTCCCAGAGCGACCGAGGATGTCAGGTGAGGGTACCCCGTCGCGTACCCCATCACGTCCCTGAGCGACCGAGGATGTGAGGTGAGGGTACCCCGTCGCGTACCCCATCACGTCCCCGAGCGACCGAGGATGTGAGATGAGGGTACCCCGTCGCGTACCCCATCACGTCCCCGAGCGACCGAGAGGGGCTAACCGTAGCCGCTGGGCCATAGGCACGTGCTACCGGGTTGTCTCTCTTCCACATTCAACTGAAGGCCGTGTGGCGCAGGTCGGTGGTTTTGGGCGATGGGAGCTCCTATACGGCGCTGCAGTCGCCCGTTGGCGCTCCTGGCGCCTGCAGCGCCCTGCGCTGGGCCGACCCATGAAGAGTGCAAACCAGTGAACATAAAACGCTCGCAAAACCAAAAACGGGTAAAAATGATGCCCTCCTCAGGATTCGAACTCGCCACTGCATGCTAACAAACAGGTGCCACCAGCCACACGAGCTACTTGCTATCTGTAACTACTAACAGAGGCAGCAGCTTAATAACAAGGCCACAGTGCTATTCTATTGAACATAGTCATTCATCTATGGTACCACTTAATTTTTTTGAATTATTTGGAAAAAAGATTGTGATTTTGAAAAAAGTTCTTCATTTTGGAAGAAAACGTTCATTGACTTTCAAAAAAAAAGTTCATGAAATGAAAAAAAGTGCAATAATTTTGAAAAAAAACAGTTCACAACAATGAAAAATGACCATGAGTTTGAAATAAGTTCATGGATTTGAAGAAAAATTCATAGAAATTTGGATAATTTCATTGAATTTCAAAAAAGTTCATCGGATTTGAAAAATAGTTCATCAAATTTTGAAAAAGTTCACCAACTTTTCAAAAAAGTTCATCAGGTTTGAATTTTTTTTGCAAAAAGTTCACAACAATTTTTAAAAAGTTCATCGGATTTGAAAAAAAGTTCATCGGATTTGAAAAAAGTTCATCGGATATGGAAAAAGTTCATGGGTTTTTGAAAAAGTTCATCGATTTTGCAAAAAAAAAGTACATCAAATTTCAAAAAAGTTCATTCAATTAAAAAAAGTTCATCAAATTTGAAAATAAGTTATCGATTCTGAAAAGGTTCATCGGTTCTGAAAAAAGTTCATCGAATTTGAAAAAAATACCGCGCACTAAAGTAAACAAAGAAAGATGAGAAAATAAGAAAAACAGAAAAAGAATAAGAAAGAAACCGAACTGAAGAACAAAGTAAAAAAGAGAAAAAAGAGCTAACTTTACACGCATGAGCGGGTGTCCCTGGTGGCTACAGCAGTGCGCTTTCAACAACTTGGCCGCGCACTAAAGTAAAAAAAAGTAGATGTGGCACACAATTTTTGCTGGTTCAAAACCAGGAAAATAGAACGTAACGGGCCGGCCCAATTAGAAATGTCTGCAGGCGCCGGTTCGATATGCCTTGGGCGATGGCGTGGTGCTGGTCTCGGACGAGCACCTGCGGAGGGCTGGGCTGGCCGGGGCCCTGGCGCAGGCGCGTACGGAGTTTAAATAAAATACAGAAATTTCCAGTAAATTTCACTCCTTATTTTATTTAAACAGCTTTGGTATTTTTAGACCCTTACTATCTTTACCCTATAGTTTGAGAAAAGTTAATAGTTTGTCTAATTCACATCTAGATATTTCTAAGGACGCCACATCTAATCTCCCACAAATAGCATAGCAACAAGGAACAAAAAAAGTTGAGACAAAAAAAAACAGACCACAAACATAGTGGACATCAGGTTAGATGTGACATAACTATGTCACATCTAGATGTGTCCTAAACAGATACAAAAGTTAAATAACTCAATAGTTTGGAGAAAAAGTGAACATTTTTTGGAAAAAGGAGAGAAAGCCTTCACCTTCCATCAAGAAAAAAAAAACTGAACTGTGTTCTCTTCTAACCCTAGTGAGAGGTGATCTTGCACGTCGCATCACCACTTCTTCTCCGCCGCTAGGTCGCCTCCCTCATCTTCTACCAGCCCTATCGATGCAGTGGATTTGCAATTCTGTAGTTGCTGGTGCTGAGTATTCCTCTGTTTTTCCCACGAAACAGAGTGCTCTGTTTCGTCCCCGGTCAGAGAGCACTTAAGAGTTCATGCGCTGTTCGCTGGTCCAACTTAGCTTAGGCAATGCATTCTGAATTTCCTATGCTTCTTTCTCGGTACCACAATCTTAACTGAATAAGCCCCGTCTGAAACATAACATATATGTGATATGCAATGTATACCCTCCATTAATACTTACTACTTCTACACAAATACTGCTCCAACCTGGGTATGATAGCCTTAGATGAAATTATAACTATGTCACATCTAGATGTGTCCTAACATTTGAGATTATATTCTGAATTTTTTTTGACAAGTTTAAAATAAGTATCATCATGCAAACGAATGATATTAAGTCCCAAACATTTGAGATTGTATTCTAAATTATTTCCCAATCAGCAATCATAAG